GAATTAAATTCTAATAACGATGCAGGCTTTATGCCTTGCAAGAGAGTGTTTGTATTTGTACTCTCAACGGATGGTAGCTGTTCTAAACTTGTGACTACTATGCTGTATTCCAAGACCAGCTTTATCCAACAGACACTTACGCTTATATCACGAGATCATCAGCCTGAATAAGGATTGATTTGTCAACCTGGAACTGGCTATGTATGTGATTCAAGGAACACAGGACGGCGGGTCGGGGGTGATTCAAGGAACACAGGACGGCGGTTCGAGTTTAGTTGCAGGAAAGACTACAGTTCTTACCCTGTAGCAGGACCTTTCTTTTGGCCTGTCTTGGCCCCTGAGGCTCGCACCCTCACCGGAGACGGCGGTCAACCAAGTACTAGGAAAAGAGTTTAAGAGGTTTGTCAAGATGGCCGAGAACTGCGGCTTCTTTGAGAAGATCTGCCCCCGCTACTAAATGACGTGGCCACTCACTCTCACCTCGCTTCCTTCTTCCGCCTCTCTTTTCCCTCCTCTCCTCTCCCTCTACATCTGTCTTCCTTTTTCCTTTGTCCGCTTCCCCATTCTTGAGCTGGGCAGCTCAGAAGGTACCCGACCACCGTCTGAGCCACCAGCTGTCCTCTGCGGCTGCCTTCGCAGCCTGTACAAAGGGTCTTTCCTAATCCCCGTCGTAAAGACTGGTTTTTGCAGCGGCACCGCCGCGCCCCATAGCCCGCTGACGGGCGAAGGTTTCACCTGTGAGCGCCTCTGAGCCGATGCCGTGCTGGATGGTGTTTTGTTTACGTTTGTTGGGGGGGGGGGGGGACACCCTAGGATAGTGTTTTGTTTACGTTTTTGTTGGGGGGGAGAGAACTGCGGAGAAGACGTCCACGTTTATTTGGGCCAACCCCACTGTCTGCCTGTACATAGAATGTAGCCAATTAACTAGCTCAGCACGTCCTGTGCCCCGACAAGACCTGAGCGGCTTTTGCCGCTGAACGAAAAATACACTACTACAAATAATACTACTAAGCCTGTCTTGGCCCACTACGACGCAATGGCCACTTTGTGGTTGAAATAAGGTTTTGAGACACCTACGTCAACGCAAACATGTGCATTATGTCATCAAGCCACCACGAGCTT